GTGTCAGGCACAACTGAAACAACTGAACAACAACAACAATAATTATAAGCCATATGCCAAGAGTACTTAAAGATTTACCAAGTAATTCTCCTAGCCATAACATAGGGAGGGAGGTAGGACCAATATCCTCGTCTCCATTTTAAAGATAAGGAAAACAGGTTTCAGGAAGGTTAACTGATTTTCCCAAATACATCCAGCTACAATGTGTTAGAGCCAGCATTTGAACCCAGATTACTGCTTACTCCAAATCCAGTATCCTTTCCCATCACAACGTAGATGCCTCCACAAATCTACTATCTGTGATATGATGTCGAAGGACATAAGGACATACATACAAGCCTGCATGCATATAAAAGCACATATACAAGAAAACATACACATGGTGGTTTGCACACACACACACACACATGCACATACACACACAGAGGCAAACACGCACACCTCTCTAGCAAAAAATGAGTCACTGTGCCCTGCCATTCTTCCCCAGCCTCTCTCTTCATGACTCCCTGCTATGTCCTCCCAATCTATAAATGTCTGTAAAGAGTTTGTAGAGAAATTTCATATACATGCCATAACCAATGGGTTTTTTCAGGTTTAAATAATTACGTCCAAAAAAAATGACAAGTGTGCTCTTTGCCCATGCAGAGATGAATAATTACAAAGCCAGGACACAATTAAGAAATTCTGACTGTCGTATTCTAGAGCCATTGGCCTGACATGAAGTGCCATCACGAGGGGTGGCACATTCTGTCCTGGATACCCACTCCACTTTGATCTCTCCTTCCACCAGTAGACTGAGGCCACAGTCTGGTCACAGAAACAGCCTTCCGCCTAGGGCTCTAAGTCCTCAGTCCAACCAATTCTGCCCACTTTGCCTTAACACTGAGCAAAACACAAGGAGCAGTATTTTGACAACAGAAAATACTTTCCTTAAAATTCAATGGTAGAAGCTGGTGTCTGGCTCTTGTTCCATTTTCTATCCCTAACACCAGAGGAAAGGAAGAGTCCATCTCACATTAGCTACTGATCTGTCATGAATGGTATAAATCTTTCCATAGGACAGTCAAAGCTCAGATAGAACCGGGTACTTTAAACTAAAAAAAGAGAAAAATCAGAAGTGGGCAAGAAATGCATCATCTTAAGAACGAAAGAAGAGAAGAGGGAAGGAGAGCAGGAAGAACAGGAGGGCATGATATATACCAAACCAAGCCTTTATGACCCAGGAGAGTTTATCAATTCCTGGATATTGGGTGGGAGGGTCAGGGGAGGGGTGTTTGAGTAGACCAAAGATGCTCAGACAGTCCAGTACCCATGCCTTCCAGGTTGAGGGCTGTGATTGGAGAAGTTCTTTTCCACTCTCCCAAATATTTTATGTCACAAATAAAATGAAAACAGCTCCCCAATCATAGCCTTTTTGATCATTCATCAGCACTTTCTGCTGAATAAGCATAACATGCCTCCCCTGCCTCAGAAGGGACAGAAGCCAACTGCAGATTCTGATTTTGTTATGAAAAATAGGCCTTTACCCAGAGTGCTCAGTACATTCCCTGGAAATTGCTCTCTTTTTATAAACCTACTCCAAGAATACACACACCTCTGTGAACATACAATTACACATCACACCCCCTTTTGGAGGAAGGGGAGCAAAGAGGAAGAAAAGGGAATAAATATTTATATAGCCACATTTTTTGTTATCTCATTGAACCTCAAAACAATCTTGTGAAGTAGGTGCTATTGTTATCCCCGTTTAACAATTGAAGAAACTGAGGCAAACAGAAATTAAGTGACTTGTGCAGGGTCACACAGGGAAACTTCTGAGGCTGGAAATGAACTCAGATCTTCCTACTCCAAACCCAGCCCTCTATCCACCATGCCATCAGTAGCTGCCTTTGCAGGGAGGGGAGAGAAGCTGGGAAGAATGAGGTCAAGACACATGATTTCACCTGCGTATTTCACTGCGATTTCACCTCCCATCATGGAAGTCCCCTCTTACAGATGCAGATCTCCAGTTGCAATATAGCCTTAGAGAGTTATCTGGGGCACTGAGGTTAAATGACTTGTTCATGACTACACAGCTGACATGTGCCAAAGGAAAGACTTGAAACCATTTCTTCCTGACTCTCTGGAAGCCTGCTCTCTGTCCATGCTCCAGGCTACCACTCACTTACCCATAGGATTAAACTCCATACCCTGCAATCCTCCTATCCCATGCCTTACTTCCCCTGGTAGGAAAGAGAAGACAAATAGTTATGGGTGGCCCCAGGGTATGTTGGTAGATCCTTTGTGCCAACCCTATGCTACCCTGTATGGTGGCATACTCTCTAGGAATGCCTATGTCTCAATGTGTTACTTCATAGCCAGGAACAGTCACACGTGTACATAAAGCAAACATGCCAAAAACAATCCCCAACAACTTCTTTTAACAACCATTTGCTAATTCATTTGGATCTTCAGGTGATATTTTCTGTCCCAAATTAAAGCACCACCTCATATCACCTAAAATAACAAAGAACCAAGTGAGAGCAAAAGGTTTAATATGGAATCAAGAGCCCGAAAATGTCTCCAGGAAAAGTCTAGCATGACATAGGGATGGAAAAGCAGGTTTTGTCACCCTGGCGAGGTGTGTGGCCTTGGGAACGTCCCTTCTCCTAGCAGGACTTCACTTTCTTCATATGTCAAGGCAGGTGGGGTAGGATGAGAAGATCTCAATTCTGAGAATCTACAAAACACTGATCTTTGGTCTGTGCTTCGATGGTTAACAGACTCCTGCTTTGTAAGCTGTTGTTTTTTCTCCCTTCCCCCCCTTTAAAGAATTAATGAGCAGCTCAAGCCATATGCAGCTAGTGGGGGATGTTAGAGCTCCTCATTCAGACAGGCTAATTCTGTGACTGATTAGAGGCTAATTGGTAACTCTGAAGAGCTGTTTTAGTGGAGATCCTTGAGTTTCTAGAAAAGCTGTTTTGTCCACAAAAAAAAGAAAGAAAAGAAAAAAAAAATCCAGTTCTTGCCATCCATTAGAAAGCAGCTCCCTTCTCTCCCAGGCTCCCCCCAAGTTTGCAGCCAAGATGAAGATCTTTACATGTCAGCATTAACTCAGAGCCAGAGGAATATCGATCTTTTTACCCTTTTTAAAGGGTGTGTGAGTGAAGGGAAGAGAGAGAAAGGAAAAAAAAAAACCAGGATAACTACAAAGGCAGAAACACAATGTATTTCACCTACTTCTTTGCTGAGGTTTGTGATGTCAGCCTGTCTCCAGAGTCTTTTCACAAAAAAAGGCTAAGAATTAAATTATTTTATTTGGTGCAACTTATAAAAGCTGAAATAAATGAAGGCACTGGTAAACAACATGTCAAACCTGTGTCATAGTGAGAATAAGTGTGAACATTTTTGTATTTATATATATATGAGTAAAAATTCATATTTATAAAGTGATTCGATCTGAATTTACAGTGTATGCTAAAACTATACAGGTAACGATGCATTGATCTGGCAGCATCATGTACACACACACACATACACACACAACTTGTAGTGCACATTTTCTTTACAGTTAATGTTTTTATTTGGCAGAAATAGAAACTCCAAATAAGGTGAGCCTGATGATCTGAAGAGAAAATACAACCTTAAGAAGAAAGTTTTCTGCCCTTGATAATAATTACAAATAGGGAGATGAAAAATTAACCACAAACTGGACTACTTGGATTCCTAAAATGATAATGGATAAAATGTATCACTTCAAGGGTTGTAAAACATTTTGTAAATATTATATCATCTGTTATTATATCATTAGCAAACCTGTGAGACCACTGCCATATGTACTGATCATCATTTTACTGATGAAGAAACTGATGTTCAGAGAGGTTAAATGATTTGCCCATGATCATATAGCTACTAAGTATCAGAGGCAGGTACTCCTGACTACAAGGTCAGTGCTATTTCTAATCCATCAACCAGTCAACAAGTATTTATTAAACATTATATATTACCATCATGCATTATTATATAAGCATTTATTCTCTAAACCGAAGTCCCTTCAACATACTTGGACTTCCAAAAAGCAACTGGTCTCATGCTGCACAGCACCAGGGGAGGAATGTATATTATCTGGGGTCATCAACTCCATCCCCCGACTCTGTACTTTATTACATTTAAACCACAGCCAGATCCCCATCATCTATCCCGTCTTTTAAAAATCTTCCAATATCTGAATTCTAGACATAGAGCCAACTCTCCCCGTCTCATCTGTATTGTCATTATGATGACACCACATTAAATTTCTCTGTCTTATTCTGAGTCAGCTGGTAAAGGTCAATAAATGCCATCCATGTATACTCTGAAGAGCCACATGTGGGTAGCACATATAAGCCAGGGGACAAATTGTCAGAAAAAAATCGCCTTCTCTTCTGGTACTATCTCAGAGAGAAGCTGCTGTGCCTTAACCTCTGGACAGGGGGAAATTATTCTCTTGGCTCCTCTGATGGCACTGGAACAGAAGGGTCCCTTTCCCGAGGCACCAGTAAAATCCAAACCACCCCAGAGAGAGCAGAAACCCAATACCTCTTCCCCAATCTTCTCTCCAGAGCCAAAAAAGCCCTATTTCCTAGAGAAAACACATTCCAGACAAAAAATGAAACCCCACTCCAGCCCTCAAAGTTGTGTTTGAAATACAGGCTCCTGGATGGCCTTACAGATGTGGCCACCTCATGAATGAGGTCAACTGGGTTACTTTTAGACTTGAACGCAACAAGGACTTAACTCATTAACCAATCATGTGCTACAGAAAGGGTGTTTCAGTGACATTCTGCTGTATCGTCCTATCACCTCCCAGGTCACCACAGAAAAGAGCAGTCCTCTTGACCCAATGTGGGTACCTCTCTTCCCGCTGATCAGGACACATGGCTAACCAGTACTGCACAAGATGCAGTACACAGCGTAAAAAAGAAGTTGCTTCAGTCTGGGGCCAATGCTGCCACGGAGATGAAGGCCTGGGGCCTACTTACCTTGGGCTTCACTACTTTCATGAATTCACCTCTCAGCAGGGCCTCCTCACGCTCCGATTTTGTGACTTTCTTTGCATCCAGAAACTTCAGGTTGGGCAGCTTGTACAGAACAAAGCACCTGGAATGGAAAGCCCAGAGGTCACTCAGGGAGGACAGGTGAGACAACCTTCTCAGGCCAGGCCCCACAACTCCCCAGGAGATGGCTCAGACCATTGCTGCTCCTTTTATGCCCCTTCATCCGCACAAAAGTTAACAAAATGCACAATTACCCGCTGGAGAAACCTTTCTTGAAAAGTGGCCCTAATAATACCCACACGCTGGGTAAATGACTACCCTTCCTACAAACATGTGACTCTTCTGTTTACACACGTACAGATGACTACATTTTATATACACGCAACTATAAAACCCACGTGTGCGTGCACACATACACACAGTGTGGAGCAGCTCATGGAAGAATAAGCATTATGTTGTCTTCCATCGCTTTATGCCCAATTTTGGAAAATTAGCCCAGACTTCTCCCACTCACCCCACTTCCCCCAGCCTGCTAAAAAAAAAAAAAAAACCCTTCCCCCATGAAACACCGATAAAGAGTCTGCTTCATCCATGGACCTCACCAATCTTATTACAAGAAATCAACCTGGTTCCAGCTATAGAAATAACAATTACTTATATTTATATGGCCTTGTAAGATTTGCGAAATGTTTTTTTTTTTCTGACCATAACTCTATAAAATAGATAGTCTAATAATACTATGCTCATTATACAGATAAGGAAACTGATTTCTCCATGGTCACAGCTCATGCCAGTTAGAATCAGGATTTAAACCAAGGTTTCCTGATTCTAATTCCAGTGCTCTTTTCCCACTACACCATATGAAGATCTGGGTTTAATTCCTGTCTCAGATAATGTGACACCAAGCAAGTTACTTAAAACCTCTCTGGTCCTCAGTCTCCATATCTGTAAAAAGAGGGGGTTGGAACACAGGACTCTAAATTCTTTCCGGCTCTAAATTTCTTATCCTTCCATCTATGCTGTCACTTGCTGCAAAGTGTTAAGTTAATAAATCAATTCCTATAATTTTGCCAGGGGTCGTAAGTTCACCTGGTAGATTCAGACTATCAGAATGGGGCATTGTGAGCAATGAGCGTGTAGGCCACAAGCTCTCTCAGCCTCTGTCTCTTCATCTGTAAAATCAGGATAAAAATAGCCCCAAACTCACAGGTTTCATGTGAAGCTCAGATGAGAAAACATATATAAATCGCTTTGCAAACCTTAAAGAGCTTTATCATTATTGTTGATGCTGTTGTTAATAATAATAACCAAAATGCAGAAAGAACCAAACTTCACTTGATAAGTCACATCTTCTTTCTTCCTGTCCTTCTTAGCTAGTCCCTCTCCTCAAGCCTACACAGATCCCTTAGGATGGTATGGCAATGACGCTGGGTCTTTCCAAACCAGGCCAGCTAAGATAATCTGTGGCTGGGCCTACAAACACTAATAATAATAAACACAGTTGACATTTGTATAACTCTTTCAGATTTCCAAAACACATTTTCTCATGTGAACTCAACAATAACCCAGTATGGCAGGCATGATGAGTATGAATTTTATAAATGAAGAAAGTGAGACCCAGAGGGATGAACTTATCTGTGGTTGCATAGCTATTATCAGAGGTGGAATTCAAACTCAGGTGCTTCCTGAGGTCAAGACCAGAGTTCTCCTTGCTCTATAACACACTATGTCTCCAAAGTGGAAAGGTAGAGGCATAGAACAATTCTAATGGGGGCTATTGACAAGCCTGGTTATTTTCAGAGAAGCTTATCACCATATATCTGTCACCAGATGGTGAGTTTCTCTGATCATAGTAACCCATGAAAATGGTCAACTAAAACGGAGGTTAGTTGTACTTTCCATCACTGAAGAGAATGTCTATAATGACGAATTTTAGGTAACTAATGCATTACCTATGGTGCTTCTAGCAGAAATGGCCTGGCTCATTGTGAGAAGGAAGAATGGAGATTGTCCCCAGAGTGGGTTCTATGAGTCAGTTTTATTCCATAAAGCATTCCATAAAACACCATATTAGATGAGGCTAGGTGGCATCCATCATGGCAACCAGGATGGGAATACAAATGTCTTCTCTAAGTAATAGTTACCAACAAGTTATGTAATAGATTTGGGGACTGATAACTTGGCATCTCTCTCTCTCTCTCTCTCTCTCTCTCTCTCTCTCTCTCTCTCCCATCTGTCCCCAGTCACATTTCTAAGAACCTTTCACTATCCCAACACTCTCAATCATATCAGCAATTATGGCCACACTGATGAACGTAGGAAAGAGATACAGGCACTCAGACCACAAGTAAAATGAGTTGACTCCAATGGCCCCCCTCATCCCCTTTGCCTTCTCAAACCCTTTCCATCCTTCAAGATCCAATGTGAACATCCCATCCTATGTGAAAGACCTTCTCTGACCACTCTAGCCCAGTGAACTCTTCCTGCTCCTAAACTCTTTCTTCACTTACAGTCAGTCCCACAGTTTACCTTTCAATTCCTCTCTAATTGATCCATACCCTCATCTTGTCTCCTCAGATAGGCTATAATCTCCATGATGACAAGAGCCATACATGCCTTATTTTCAGTCTCCCATAGTGTCTTGTACAGACTAGAGAGGCAAATAACAGAAACCATAGCATTCCTAGAGCTCTAGTAATTTAAATTAACAAACAATTGAGTATATAGTAGGCATTCTATAAATATTCATCAGTTGAGTAGATTGAGAAGTAACACAGGGAAACAAAACAAAACAGGAAACCATGGACTTCTCCATGGGAAAGCAAGAAGACTTTAAGACGTCTAACCTCTTCATAAATGGTTTAGCCACTAGGTGGTAAATTTGATTTACTTAAATACAAAAAAGCACTTGATATACTAGATTGTGATGGATACAGAGATGAAATAAATTATAATCCCTCACAGAGCTTACAGTCTAAAAGAGAGGATTAGACATTTGCACAAATAATAACAAAAACCCAATGAAAATTATAAAGGAGTTCAAACATAGTGCTGTGAGAACCCTAAGGGGATCAGAGAAGGTTTCATATAAGAAGTGGCACCATAGTTCAGTCTTGAAGGAAAGGAGAGATTTTAGCAGGTAGAGATGGTGGGGAAAGAGAAGAGAATCAATTTCCAGTAGTGGCGATGGAGTATGCTGGAACCAGCTTCTATACACTTATAACCAAACTGTATCTTCAGTGCAAGTACTTATAACTTTGAAATGGGCAAAAGCTACAAATCAGGGTTTTATTTATTGTTTTGTGGATTGTCTTATTATAAAGTGATGGAGGAAAATGTTAATGATGCACATTAAACTTAAAAGTGTGTCCCACATACACTATTTTGGGGGAAAGAGCCCACTGTAAAATTTATCAGCACATTGCTGGAGATGACATGAAATAAGGCATGAAGATAAGAGTAGAAACACATTAGTATGAAATGACAAGTAGTTCAGTTTGGCTGAAATTTGATTATTTACGATCTCCTCCTTTTTATGTAGCTTTTTCCCTTTTCTTTTTTTTTCTCTCCCTCTACCACCTACCTCTCCAGTTGGAAAAAAAAAATAAAGAAGAGAAAAATAAAACCCTTGTAACAAATAAAGCACGACAAATCAACTTTGAATAGATATGTCTCTGTCCATCTTGAGTACATCACTCTCTCTCAGAAGGTGGGAATCATGGGAGGGCACTGCATTAAGTACAGTTCTTAAAATGTTCAAAGTGGTTTGTCTCTACAAGGTTGTTGTTATAACATAAATCACTCTCCTAGTTCTGTTCAATTCATTCTGCATCAGTTCATACAAGCCTTCCCAGGTTGCTATGAAATAATCCTTTTATGTCATTTCTTATGACATAACAATATTTTGATTTTATTCATATATCATAATTTGTTCACCTATTCCCCAAACTGATGATTACCCATTAAGTTTCTAGTTCTTTGCCATTACAAAATAGTTGCTATGAACACTTTCTCATATATATATATATATATATATATACATATATATATATATACATATTTATGCTTGTGTATATATGTATGTGTTCTTTCTTTGACCTCTTTGGGGTACAGACCTAATAGAAGTATTGCTAGGTCAAAGGGGATACATAGTTCAATAATTTGGAGGGAATAGTTCTAAATCGCTTTCCAGAATAGTTGGACCAATTCATATCTCCTCCAACAGTATATTAATGTGTCTATTCATACCCTATTGTATTTGCATCTGCGGCATGGGATAAGCAAAAGATGGATGGTAGCTGCTTTAGAGGGCCTGAGCACACCCCTACTTGGGCACCACTGGCTTACAGGAGTCATCTTTCCAAACAGCAGGGATTCCTTAGAAAAGACCATTAAAAGAGGCAGCTGGGCTGTGGAATCAGAAAGGGCTAGTTTCAAATACTTCCCCACCACCACCACCCAACACATACTGGTTGTGCCACCCTGAGCAAGTCACCAAATCTCTTAGTGACCCTAGAGAATTCCAAACTCATCAACTGTTGGGAAGGTGCTGATTTGTATTAGCAGAAGGAGGTTCCTCACTTAAAGATCTCTATAATGGAAAAAAAAAATAGTAGCCTGGGAGGGAAGGGAAAGGGAAAGGGAAAGGGAAAGGGAAAGGGAAAGGGAAAGGG